CATCCTTAACAGAAGGGGTGATTTGCGGATTTCATGTAATAAAGGGGCTGATTTACCAGTGTTTCTAGTATAGGGGCTGATCTGCCATAGCATTGCAGGTACAGGGCTTAATTGCACCTTCTGCTGCTAAAAAGAAGTTCGTGTCGGACTCTTAGACCATCGTGCAAAATTTTTAGAAGGTAAACTAGCAGTATTGGCCCCTCAACTTTGTTATTATTATTATTATTATTAAAAATTTTGTTTAAATTATTAATCAGTTCGAACAAAATAGCAGGACAATAAGAAACGTAAGGGTAGAATAACGCAAAATCACAGGTTTCAAAAATTCGATTAGTTTCAGATTTATTTACACAGATCAATAACCCATTTTTATATAAAATTTTCACGATAAATTCACTAATATCTTGTAAATTAAATATTAATCTTACAAGTCTTATTCTCATAATAATATAATTTGATCTCAAAATTTATTTGTATGGCTCTAGATATAATTAATTATGGGGATTATTCTTAACTTGAGAAAGACACAAGAATTAAATACAGATTAATTTTATTTCTTTAAGAATAATGATAAATGAGATTAAAATTTAGAATTAAAATCTAAAACTAAGAACATAATATAAGTTATTTAATGATTAATTTTTTTAAAATTTATAATATTATATACATAAATTAATTTAATAATAAAATATAAATTACGTTGTGGATTTTAAATTTTCATCTCAAATTTTAATTCTCTTTATCATTACTCTATTTTAAATTATTTTTATATATCACATTTTCCCTTTACATAAGAACTCTACTTATTCCTTCATATGGTGAAAATATTACTTTATAACTATCTATAACTACTGTGTTAATAGTATCTTTGAACTACAAAAGAAATGTCCTTTTAATTATCTGAGATAATCAAAGTGATTACCAGAAAAACCTCAATCCAATAATAATCTCACAGCAGATTATATAAGCTAAAATACAAGACATATAACTGTAAGTGAAACCTAAATGGCCCAGGACAGAATAATTAACAAGATCATTTACACTTCACGACTTGGATACTAAGCTTGAATTGTATTATATACATGTTGAATTATATTAGATTAAATTATATTAACTATTAAATAAGAATTGATATTTAGATGTTGGTAGTTTTTTATTTATACAGTAATTTTTTTAATAATTTGGTATAATTTAAAATATAAAATAAAATTTTTTTATATTATAATAATATTACATTAAAAAATTTAACTGTTATATACTTTCAAAACTTGAATCATGATTAGTTTGCGAGCAAGAATCATTATAAGATCGTACGTTGAATACTATAGCAACAAGAATGATGATGCAATCATGTGAATTTCACAGAACAATGATGCGATCTCAAATAAAAACATGATGCCACAAATTAATCGCAACAAAAGCAGCAATTCCATTATTATATGAAACGTTGTCATTATAAGTTCAATTCAGCAGTCTCAATACCTACAATTGGATAATTGCTTGAGATAAAAATATTAATCATGCTTTTGCATAACGCGATGGAAAACTTTAATTGATATAATGAGTTTTAGATATAATTTGTGTGATTCTGATGTTAAAATTTACTTAAATAATTAATATTACAAATTAAATTTTAAAATGAAAAATCATCTAAATCATAATATATATAATATACGAAATTAATAAATGCATATTTTAATTTCCATAATTACCATAATTAGTTTACAAGATAAAAATGTTACCAAGTATTATCCAAAATAGTTGTAATTCATGAAAAATATATTAAACAAACAAAAAAATGATTTTTGTACAATCTTTTTATTTTATTTTATTTTTATATGATTTGACATATCATTTAAATGGTTGATTCTTTCAATTCATGTGAAACCTATAATATTGAATACATTTATTCATTTAATGACATGTGGAAGTTATATAATAAAGTGATATAAAAAAATTGTTTCTATCACACAACCCAAACAAATATAATTAGTATTGAGATTTAAGTTTTTTCTTCCTATTTAACTTTTAATAACAATTGATTAACAATTGATGAGGCATATTACTTTTTAATTTTACCATTTAATATTTTTGAAGTTAGAGGATTTTTGGATGAGAGAAGAAACTTATCCCATTATAATAATTTTTTTGGTACCCTATCAAATAACTTATTTTTAATTTCAAGTCTTATATTTATTCATTTATAAAATCTAAACCTATTTGAATCATACAATTTTATTGGCATTTGATCTAATTTTAAAACTAAATACAATTAACAAAAATCTACATAAAATTTTCCAACAAAACGTACATTCAGGAGAGATTAAACCTAAATAAAACAAAACAAAAAGACAACAAAAACAAAAAGGTTAAATACCCTTTTTGGTCCCTCTATTATAGAAAAAAGTCCCTTTTTGGTCCCTATATTGAAAAAATCCCCTTGTTGGTCCTTACTGTTCACAAATACGGTCCCCTTTTGGTCATTCCGTTAATTTTTGCTTACATGTCATGTTAACTTAACTAGAACAGTTGACGTGGGTATGCCAACATGTAAAATATGTTTATGTGGACTCCACGTCACCCTCCACGTCACCTAACTTCCTCCAGCCTTTTTTTTTTGTCTTTTTTTCCTTTACCTCCAAGCGAACCCAGCTCGCGGGTTTGTGATGAATCCAGGTGCCTGGGTTCATCGCGAACCCAAGATGAACCCAGCTTGCGCGACTAGGTTGGCAATGAACCCAGCTCGTGTGATTGGGTTGGCAATGAACCCAGCTCACGCCTGGGTTCAGGACATACCCAGGCGCAAGCTGGGTTCACAATCTCTGCCAAGTGGCGAACTCAGGCGTGAGTTGGGTTCTCAATACCTGCCAAAAAAAAGAAAGCATGTTCGTCTCAAACAAATAGCTCTAGAAACATCCAACAACAGAATCAAAAATGAACCCAAGAGCAGCAAAAATTTCAAGAAATTGAAAATTGAGGATTTGAAATTCTAGCACTCAATGTCAATGGCCTAAGTTGGAAAATCAAACCAATCACATCCATCCTTCGATCACTTGGATGAGATGAAAAGCACATTATTAAATTCCAAACAATTAGCAGTAATTGGAAAATTTCACTACAATTACAATGTCATTATCATTCCAAACCAAATCCATCCATATCGAAACTAATCAACTACTATGTTCTCCCCACTGATCTAGAACACGAGCTAAAAAAAAAAAACGAAAGACATGAGAACGAACAGAGAAGAGGAAAGTGGGACTGACTAGAGAAGAGGAAAGTGGGACTGACTAGAGCAACAAAGGAGACAAGGGCATAAGCGGCACAGAGAGCGTAGAAGATACCGTCCTGCCACTAAGTAGAGTCGTTGATCTCATCCCACCAGGAGGAAACGAGAGGTCTAAAGTCTGAAATCGAGGATCTAAAACCCAGGAGCTTGGGTTCATCACGAACCTATGAACCCACGACAAACCCAAGCGCCTGGGTTCATCGCGAACCCGTGAGTTGGGTTCCTCGCGAACCCGTGAACTGGGTTCCTCGCGAACCCAGGCTCTTGGGTTTGCTTGGAGGTAAAAGGAAAAAAAGAAAAAAAAAAAAAAAGCCGAAGGAAGTGGGGTGATGTGGAGGGTGATGTGGGGTCCACATAAGCATATTTTACATGTTAGTATACCCACGTCAGTTGTTCCAGTTAAGTTAATGTGCCATGTAAGCAAAAATTAATGGAATGACCAAAAATGAGCCGGATTTGTGAATAGTAAAGACTAAAAAGAGGATTTTTTTAGTATAAGGACCAAAAAGAAGCTTTTTCTTATAGTAGAGGGACCAAAAAGGGTATTTAACAAAAAAAACAAACAAACTCAATATAGAATGGAATGGCGAGATGGTTCATTTTATAATATTAAAAAATCAAAAATCCCTCCGCTACAGCTCCATGGATTGGCAGCACTCCAAAACCAGGTAAAAACTTATTTTTTAGTTTTTTATTTTAATAAATTTGTAAATTTTAACCTTCATTTTATACTATAATACTTTTAATTCATCATCTATATGAATTGAAGAAAATAATCCTTATTTAATATCATATTAATTAATTATTAATTTTGTTAACTGGTTGTTAGCTCTGTTAGTTAACTGTTAATATTATGTTATAAAAAATATGAAATTTAAATTTAATTTTATTTATTAGTTTTGCTAATAGATGTTAATAGTTAATTAATAAAATTAATAAAATTAACAGTCAATTAATAAAATTAATAGTCAACTAATAGAATTAACAATTAATTAATAAAACTAATAAAATGTTATAACCTAACATTAAATAAGGTTATTTTTTTAATTTGTATAAATAAGAGATTAAAAATATCATAAAATAAAATAAAAAGTTAACAATTATTCAAGGTAAAGACTAAAGAGTAAAAATAGAGTTTTTCAACCGAAACCAAGCAAAACAAAAAAGTGACAAAAGTAACTTGTTTGGGTCCAACTTCGCGCTCTAATGCTCTAGGCTGAGTCAGCTCTCCTTCTGTCTCTTTACTGTATATAAATAGAGAAACAGAGCCTAGTATCAGTTCACAGAATCATAAAGGATTGTTCTGAGTTCTCCCTGATACTCGAAACTAAAGTCTCTGAAATGGCGCCTCAGATAGAATCTGAATCCGAATCCACGTTTCCAAATCCACGCCTCCCAGCTTAGAAATCATCGCGCCATTCCTCAGGTACTCCGTTCAATTACGTTTTTTCCATCTCGGATTTCTCTTCTTGATTGAGATGTTATTTCGGTTCTGATTTCGGTTCTGAGCTTGATTACGTTACGAATTCTTCGATTAGGTTTTTTGATTTCTTCTTAATCTCATACTGGAATATGAAATCAAATCATGTGATGTATTCTGTTTTCTCGCTTGATAATTATTCTGCTTATTCTGCATTTTGACTTCCTGGACTGTATTATAGTGTTTGATTTCAAGAATTCATCTATGTTTCTTCTTTTTCATTTTGAATTTGCTCGTATTCAGGTAGTTTGATTTTAGCTATCTTCCTTAAGGTTTAGATTTCACGTTAAAGAAGATTTTGTTCTTGAATATATGTAAAAATAGGATATGATTTTTACTCTTGAAATCGAATTTAGCTTCTGTTTTGATTAAAGCTGATTATGAACAAAACAAACAAGGGGGAAAAAAAACAGATCATAGACTTCATAGCGGGAAGTTGGAGTTATTTGAAATGTTAATAAAGGAAGAAGAGGAAATAATTCAGATTGGCTGAAAGATTAACATTTGGTTGTAGCTGAATCATCAGTACATAAAGGAAGAAGAGGCAAAAATTAAGATTGGCTGAAAGATTAACATTTGGTTGTAGCTGAATCATCAGTACAACTTATGCATCTAATATAATCGTAGATTCTTGCTCAATGGACTCACTCTATGGCAAAAATAAGTTGAACATGCCAAAAGGCAATGTTTCCACACTGATGATTCCAGCAAGGGGAAGTTTCAGTCCCTATTCATCTCAAGAGAGCCTCGTGAAGTACCTGCGTTCAAATTCTCCATCCATCGGCAACATTTCTTCTGGGAAGGGCAGCTTCAAGTCATCTGTATCACCATTCTCAGAGAATACACCAGTGAAGTTGGCGGAGGATGATGTGCTTGTTGTGGATGGGATCCTTGTTGCCTCTGATTCTGGTGCTGGAGGATCCCGTTCTTCTTCTTCTTCTTCTTCAGGAAGCGGTGCATCATATAAGACAGAGATTTGCAGGGCTTGGGAGGATTTTGGGCATTGCCGGTTCAGCTCTAAGTGTCAGGTATAATTCTATGCTCAAATTCGCTGTTTTACCATGTGTAAATGTCAACAATGAGTTGATTAGTTTATTATGGAAACGTTATTTGGATTGAAGTTTCGTTTAGAGCAAAAAAGTTCTCTTTGCCTTTTATTATGAAGTTTTAGACAAGTTAGGGACCTGATTAGAATGTTGAAACCATCTTCGTTTTCATTTTTCTTGTGCTTTTAGGATATCAAATGTCAGATCTTGGAAAAATAAGAAAGGTTTAAAGTTTCAATTGATTGGGTTTTTGCAAAATTAACAAATTTGTCTCAGGAGACTGAAAACAATCAAACATCAAAGAAATTGCTTTTACTTGGATTGCTGTTGATCTAAGTGTTCTTTTAATGGTAATTCTCATGTCACTGTCCATCTAGTTGAATAACTGGATTCACTTGAGCTGTAAGCCGGTACAAATCTATTGTGCTAGTTTTGGATAGACTGATTATACAGATTGTGAAATTTTTTCTTGAGAATTTTCATGGATGAAATTCAGAGCATATATCTGAAACTTCCAAAGTGAAGATTTGACAGGCAAGAAAATAAATATTAGTACTTTCTTTGGCCGGTAAAATATTAGTACTTGAGTTTATTTTCACATTGAAACCAGGATGGCTTAAAGTCATCTAATGCCAGTGAAATATGGGTCTTGGTTTCTAGTAATAGAAGTAGTGAAGGATTGAATTTTCAACCTTCAATTTATATTGCCATGAGTGCTGAAATTCAAAGCATTTGAGTCGTATAATTTATATGTATGTCAACCCGATAGTTGTTTACAGGATATAGTGTTGCTGTACCAGCTGTATTACCTTCAATTTATTTTGTTGTGACTACTGAAATTCAAAGCATATTATGAGTTGAAGAATTCATATATATAAGTCAAGCCAATAGTTGTTGACAGGATATACCGTTGCTGTACTTAATATTTCACCTTCAATTTATATTGTTTGACTATTGAAATTCAAAGCATATGAGTTGTAAATTTGCATGTAAATGAAGCCAATGGTTGTTGACAGAATTAAGTGTTGCTGTACTAACTATTTTAGATTACTAAGTCCTGTTTAAAGCCTTTTTTAACGAATCAGAAATTCATTAGCAGATCACAACTGTATGAACTGCATTACTGCAATAAACCTGTTTTCTGCTTTGAATATACACCTGAGGAAGATGCTTTATTCTTCACTTATTTAGTTATTTATGAAGCAAACTTTACATAACTTGCAGTTTGCACATGGAAAGGAAGAGCTGCGTCCAAATCGTTTTCCCATCAGGAACAAATCCGAGGTTAGCATCCATAAATCACTTGATGCATCATAAAATTAGAAGAAAACATTAGTACCTCAAATACTCCATTATACTGATATTCTGATAGATTGGTAATGTGTACTTCTCTGTATTGTTCAGACTCAGATGTGCAAGTCATATGCAAGTACTGGATCATGCATATATGGCCCAAAATGCCACTTAATCCATCCTGTTATCATGGAAACAACAGCAGTGATATCTGAGATGGACTCTGCTACCTCCCCTGCACACAACAATCAGAATCCAAGGGCCACAATCAAGCCTGAGGGCTCAAGCAGCATCCCCAACCCCACTGTGAAATCTGACAGCACCTGCATACCAGCCTCCTACTCCACGTACTCTACAATCAAACCTAAATTCTGCAAGAGCCCCATCTCCATAAAACCTGAGATCTCTCCCAAAATGGTCTCAAATGTGAACAATTGGTCTCCTGTAGATGATGGCATTGAGGTTACCCTGCCTTCCCACCCAGACAAAGTCCCATCAAGGAAAGAAACCAATATGTACATCTATAAGATTCTCTATGGCCTTTCTACAAGGAGGTTGCCTGTCTTTCATGAAATTTGTCTAGATTGATATAGATCACATTGCTCGAGATCTGCTTCTGCCTTCTAACATATGTGTCTCCACTTTGGATCAAGGTATAATTTCTAGCTATTTTTGGCAAGAACCACAAAAATTTTTGGTTGGCCCTACTTCATATGGTACTTGCTCAATACATCTTGCAGCATACTGTCATGGAGAGAACATAAAGATTTAGCATACATGTAAAAGGGTCATGTACCAAAACAAAAAACAAAAAAACCATGTGAAAGGGTCTCATATATCACAGTTACTTTAAAATTGACAAACCTAAAGCATATGTAGATTTCATTGATTGTATTTCATCTGTGCTTTTCTGTGTTTTATGCATGTGCTAGTTTCTGCAATTGTCAGTTCCTGAGTTTCATCACCCACCTTGGGTTACAGGTTCAGGCTCCAAGGGATCCCTTTTCCCTTCCCTTTCCCCATTAAGCCTATATATGTACTAGTTTAGTTGCCCTCTTTCAAAACAAAGTTTTATTCACGTGAGCTGATTGCTTTGAAGTTATGCTTGTTTCTCAAACCTGGGAGGAGATTTTAATTGGAAAATGAAATGAACAACTCTTTAGGAAGACAAAAACAGTTTGCTTAACTTTATAGTATAATTCATGAATATGGTGATTTTTAGTTGTAAAGATTAAAGGACCAAGAGTTAGTCCAGAGATTCTGACTATATTTCTAACACCGTTTTTATATATTTGCCCATTTACTACACAATTATAATGATCTTTTATTAAATGATGAAGTGTATGGACCAATACCTTTCAATCTTCCATCATTTCTTGGATGCTTTACGTATCAAAATGCTATTATTTTTTCGCTCTTTTCCTTTTTAAAGTGAGTTTGTAAATGGTGTTTTCTCTCTTTGACCATTTTCTCCATCACAAATGCATTATAACATTTTTATGGAAGAAAAGGAATTGTAATTCTGCATAGTCATTCATTTATTTCAGTGTCTTATTTGAGGAATAGGCACCAATATAAGGCGAGAATATGAACATTAACTGTTACTTCTTTTTTCTTTTTTATACCTAACACAAATAGAATCTACTAGCTTTGAATTTCACTGCTTGTTCTGGAGGTAATACCCACCGACATTTTTTGCCATCAACATAGATGATATTCACAACTTCAAAAACTTAATTCTGGGTCAAAATTAACTGTTTGAAATTTTTCTTGCTATATACTTTCAAAAAATTAGGGGAGGTAAGTATATTACTTCCTTTTTTGTTTTTAATTTCTTCATCAATCTATCTAAATGAGGGGAGGAGTACCTATCCTTCTATTAATCTTCACTCAATTTCCATCAATCTATTCAAACGAGAGAGGGGAACGTATCTCTTTATTATCCTTTATTACTTTTTTTTTTTAAGTTTCTCTCAAATTAAACTTATTCTAAATTTATATATATATATATATAAATCTTATGTATTTTGGTTTCAAGCAGTTCTGTATATATTGATGTGAGAGAAATTTTCTGCTATAAAAGAGGGGGAAAAAAAATAAAAATAAATACACTAAGAAAGAAATGAAAAATAAAAAAATAAACTGGAGTAGGATAAGTTCTAAAAAAAAAAAAAGAAGAGAAGGGTAAGCAAGAAAATCGCTTTGAAAACTGGAAAAAAAGTCGCACAATCGAATACCTCATCCAAAAAAACATGGCTTTCACTCGTTCTCTATCCATCTCAGTCCTCTCCCCCGTCTCTCTTACCCCTAACACAGCCCAGCGTTTCTTCAACCTCCATATCCCCCACGCTTCCTCTCAGCTCTCCCCCAATCCCCCACACCACAAAACAGCTCCTGTCATCATCATTGGGGGCGGGCTCGCCGGTCTCTCCGCCGCCACCCGCCTCCACTCAGAAAATATCTCCTTCATCCTCCTCGAAGCCTCCGACGCCGTTGGTGGCCGTGTCAGGACCGACAATGTCGATGGCTTCCTCCTGGACCGTGGCTTCCAAATCTTCATCACTGCTTACCCAGAAGCCCAAAAGCTGCTAAACTACGACGAACTAAATCTCCACAAGTTCTACTCCGGCGCCAGAATTTTCTACGATGGTCAATTCCACACCGTGGCTGATCCTTTGCGGCATTTCTCCGACTCCATCTTGTCCCTAGCGAATCCAATTGGGTCAGTTCTTGATAAATTGCTCATTGCTTTGACGCGAATTCGGGTTTTGGGCAAATCCAATGATGAGATTTTGGGTGCCTCCGAGGTTCCAACTATTGAATTGCTGAGCAATATTGGGTTTTCGGATTCGATTATAAACAAGTTCTTCCGGCCCTTCTTTGGTGGGATCTTTTTCGACAAAGAGCTCGAAACCACCTCAAGATTGTTCGATTTCATCTTCAAGTGTCTTGCTCTCGGTGACAACACACTTCCGGCCAAGGGAATCGGCGAGATCCCAAAACAATTGGCTGAGAAATTGCCTTCAGGCTCCATCTTTTTAAACTCCAAAGTGGTTTCTGTTGATTTTGACGATTCAGATTTGCCGACTGTGAGGTTGGAGAACGGGGAAATTCTGGGTGGTGAACTAGGAGTAATAATGGCCGTGGAAGAACCGGTGATTGAAGAGATTTTGGCGGGAAGGAGACTGCCGAACCAGAGAAAACCAGCTCGGAGCACGGTTTGTTTGTATTTCTCTGCAGATCGAGATAAAATCCCGGTTTCGGATCCGGTTCTGTTCCTGAATGGTTCGGGTAAGGGAATTGTCAACAACATGTTCTTTGCCACAAATGTTGCTCAGTCGTACGGGCCGATGGATAAAGCGTTGGTATCGGTGTCGTTGATTGGGTTGTTTGAGGATGCGTCCGATGATGGTCTACTGGAAGAGGTGATCGGCGAGCTTTCGGGTTGGTTCGGGGCTTCGATGGTTGGGGAATGGAGGCACTTGAGAACATACCGGATCGAGTTTGCCCAACCAAACCAGTGCCCACCAACTGATCTAGCCAAAAACCCGCAACTCGGTCCCGGATTGTATTTGTGTGGTGATTACATGACTTCTGCTACTTTTGACGGCGCCATGCTTTCCGGCAGGAAAGCGGCGGAAGCTTTACTTGGTGACAGGGCCTTAGCTCGGTTGTAGTTATTCCATTTTTTTTATGAAATTTTTGTACCCTGATTATATACTTCGCAGTTCCCACTTGAAATATATTTTTCATGAAAAAGCGTTCTTTTTTTTTTTCAAGGAAAAAGCAAAATTTTTTTCTCATTCCCTTTTAAATAACTATTTACAGATTTGCTCTTTTTTTTCGAATTGCACATCATGTATAATGTTTAAACATTTATTTTCTATGAAAAAAATATTTTAAAATTTAAAATATTGAATTAAGAGAAATTTTTAATATTAAGAAAAGATCCTTCATAAAATTAACCAATACTTTTATTTTTTTAAAAAAACTCTTAAGCCTTAGAAAATTGAAAAAAAAAAAAAAAAAAAAAGGGAAACTTCAATCGAAACTTGATTGATAATAAGCTTATTGTAATCACAGTGAGGCCACATTTTTAATATTAAGAAAAGATCCTTCATAAAATTAACCAATACTTTTATTTTAAAAAAAAAACTCTTAAGCCTTAGAAAATTGAAAAAAAAAAAAAGAAAAAAAAAAAGGGAAACTTCAATCGAAACTTGATTGATAATAAGCTTATTGTAATCACAGTGAGGCCACATCCTTAATGTAAAATCTTCTATCAAAATGGGTAAACTATCCGGTTAACAACATTTCTAAGAACATGGACACAAAAGGATTCAAGCCTTCTTCCTCCCACTCCATTTAATGATGGTTAAATGTTAATTTTAACTTAAGATTTTATATAATTTTTATTTTTCAATTATATTAAATATTTTATTAATTTTTTAACTTTAAAAATTATATAATTTTGATCTTTTTATCAATTTAATCCGTTAACTCAACACACAATATTTTTTTTTTGTTTTAATGACATGTACAATACAACTAAGAGAAAAAAAAAACTTATTTGGACTAAAACTTATGCCATCTCATGTTCCCGATTATAAATAATTAATGAGTTGATCTTATTTCAATAATTAATTAAATCAATTACTACTAAGTATCTTCAATCATTGGAATTTGATTAATAAAAAATCATCTTCTTTGCTCTTTATCCAACGCTGCAAAAAAATTTCAAACAATTTGAACTCAAAGAACATCACTCTGTTTGGTTTTCAAGAAAATGTAGTAGAATAATGAAAAATGAACTCTAGGAACATCAAAATGAAGCCATGAGATTCCAGCGTTGGAATCTGAGTTTGAACAAGCCAAAAAATCTAGGTTTAAACCAACATAAAATTTGCGACCATTTGAACCTAATTTTGCTACGTTACTAGTGCTTTTTTTTTTTTTTTTTTGAGGAAGGTTCTTGGTGCATTTTTTATTGCATTTCCACCGAAGAAACTTGCAAAAAAATTAATTCAATGCAACAATTTCATATCCCAGATCTCAATAAATCCAAAAAAAAAAAAAGCAATAAAAAATAAATCCAAAAAATAGAAAACCAAAATCATCTAGATTTTTTACAAAACAAAAAGTGATTTAAGAAAGAAATTATAATTTTAAAAAACTGCATTGGAAAATTGAAAGAAAAATACTCTAAAGTAAAGACTCTATAAGAATTCAAAATCTTCAATCGATTTCAGTCAGTTGAGAATCCAGAAAAGAAGATACAAAACCACTCTCTTCCATAATAATTGATCGTCTAACGATCCATCAATATTCCTTCAAAATTCTTAGATCAAAATCTAAGACCGTAAGCCACAAATACTGGAAATTGATTTCTTCTTCCTAGTATTCTTCTTCGTCTTCAAGATTTCAAGATCTTCGCGATTGTTGAGCACCATTCGTTATTAATTTCAAGGTCTATTTCATTGAACCCAGAAATGGGTTCTTTTAAACCTAGTGATTTGGGATTTTTGAAGAAAGAAGAAGAGGCAGGGGGAAGAAAGATGCTTTTGATAGCCAGAGAAAGGAAAAGGGAGGAAGAGAGTCGTTGGAGAAAGGAGATGGAAAGGGAGAATGATATTGCAAAGGAAAAGAGAAGATGAATAGTGAGAGAGAATGTGAACAAGGAAGAAGATGAAAGAGGGGTAGAATTGTAATATTATAATTTTTCTTTTTCTTTTTATCTTTTAATTTATAGCTATAATTGCAGAAAATCAAGACTGAGAACAGTTTTGACCTATCAGACTCATTCAACATGTGACTTGTATGTTGGAGTCCATACGAGGGTCATATGATGGATAACCTAAACTCAATACTCTTGGCTTTTCGTTTTCTCATGAATTAATGTAAAAGCAATATTTTTTTTTTTCCACGGAAGTCAGTTGTATGATGTCACATCACTAAGTAAGCATTTTTTCTTTGTTGCATTATACATGTTTTTAAAACAAATGAGAAAATGTCATGTGTATTGAGTTAACAACTAAATTTATGGAAGAATTAAAATTGTGTAATTTTTAAAATTAAGAAACTAAAGAAATACATAAAATAATTTATGAATAAAAGTTATATAAAGTTTTAAAATTGAGAGACCAAAATTAACCTTTAATCTTAATGATTCTACCATTAAGCCATCACTATTATTATTGTAGAGCATGTACAATGGGAACAATGGAAAAACTAACTTTCATTCACAATTGACAATATTTTATATAAATTTACATTTTTATACATTTAATTAACACCAAAAAGTGGTCGATAGAAACGTGAGAGCTTAAAGGAAATGTTAAAAATCAAGAATTCTTGATAAGAAGAGAAGGAATGAAAATCCAAATCTCATTAAATTGAAAATCAACTAGTTTTTAAATAAGTTTTACAAGATAACTTTATTTAAAAAGATAACTAATCAATCTTATTTAATCTAATCTAAATTATAACAACCTAAAATAAATAAATAACTTAAATTTCCTAAATTATAGATATAATGGCTAAATAATAGAATCTAATTTCTAACAATCCCTTCCTTAAACTGCAAGTCTTCAGATTTTAGTTTAAAGAAATCTATAAAACATCATGTTTATAATTTGAAATCTGCAAACCTTCTTTCAAACTGAATTTTGCATGCTACAAACACCAAGTAATTTTCTTAGTTTTGAAAAAGTTGCTACTCTGAAAGGTTTTGTGAATATATTAGCCACTTGATCTTCTATTCTGCAATAAGTCAACTCAATTGTTCCATCTTCTACCAAGTTGCGCAAGAAATGATACCTTACATTTATATGCTTGCTTTTCTCATGTAGAATTGGATTCCTAAAAAACTTAATAGCTGAACTGTTATCACAATAAATTGAAGTGGCCTCATGTTGATTCAACTCAAGTTCCTCTAGGACTCTTCTCAACCAAATAGCTTGACAAGCACAAGAAGTCGCTGCCACATACTCTGCTTCTGTTATGGACAAAGTCATAATGGGCTGCTTCTTTAAAGACCATGAAACTGCACCAGATCCCAACATAAAAACATACCCAGAAGTGCTTTTTTTGTCATCCAGATCTGCAACATAATCATTATTTGTAAAGCTTGCGAGATTTGTTTGGTCACTTTTCTTGTAGAATAGTCCAAAATCTACCATTCCATGTAAATACCTGAGAATTCTTTTAGCAGTTTGCAGGTGAAACTCCTTGGGATGCTCCATATATCTACTAATTAGACTTACAACATGCATTATGTCTGGTCTTGTTGCTATCAGGTACATCAAACTTTCAGCAATCTGCTTATATAGTTTGCTGTCCATAGTTCTGCCACCTAGAACTTTTATGAGCTTTACATTTTTGTCAATTTGTGTAGTGACAGAATTACAGTTCTTCATTTGAAATCTATCCAGAACTTCTTGCACATATTTTTTCTAACAAACAAAAATTCCAGAATCTGACTGTACTACTTCCAAACTAAGAAAATAATGTAACAAACCTTGATCTGTCATATCAAATTCAAGCTTCATGGACTACTTAAACTTTTCCAACATACCAAGATCATTTTTAGTATAAATTAAATCATCAACATATAAGCATACTATAATCAATTTACCTCCATCTCCAAATTTGATGTAAAGTGTATGCTTATAAGGGCATTTTTGAAAACCTTCCTTCAAAAAATGAGCATCAATTTGACTATACCAAGCTCTAGGTGCTTGTTTTAGTCCATATAATGCTTTCTTCAATCTGTAAACTTTATGTTCAAAACCAGATTTCACATAATTAGGAGGTTGATCAATAAATACCTGTTCTTGTAAATTTCCATGCAAGAAGGCCGATTTCACATCAAGCTGGTAGATTGGCCATGAGTTTTGTGTTGCCAAAGCAATCACCAATCTGATGGTGTCCATCCTTGCAACTTGAGCAAAAACTTCTTGATAATCAATGCCAAACTCTTGCTTGTAACCCTTTGCCACCGAACGAACTTTGAATTTGTCAACCTCCCCATTTTCTTTGAGCTTTGTCTTGTAGATCCACTTAATACCAATTGTCTTGTGCTCTTCTGGAAAATCAGTCAACTCCCAAGTTTGGTTCTTTTCAATAAAACCAATTTCTTCTGCCATGGCTTTTTGCCACTTTTCTTCTTTAACGGCCTCTTCATACATTAGAGGATCACAGTATGCAAATAGAGTAAAATGAGTAATTGGAACATCATCTTGAGGTAAATTTGTTACCTCATAATCCTCCAACCATGTTGATCTTCTCTTTTTGCGTTGAGGTCTAGAACTAGTTCCAAATTCCAGTTCTGGTGTTGTTGGCAGATTTCCTCTAGTACTCAGTTCTGCTATTGTAGGTAGACTTTCTTCAACTGTCTGTCTTGAAACTTCAAGATCTGTTGAAGTTAGACTTTCTTCAACTGTCTATCTTGAAACTTCAAGATCTGTTGAAGTTAAACCTCTAGTTTGTTATGTTTGACCTTTTGAGTTCTGCATAGTTAAATCTTCTCCATTTTCGAAATCTGTATGAATATGTTGCCCAGATTTTTCTGTTTAAGACCAGGTGCTTGCTTTATCAAACACTACATCACGGCTAATGATGACCTTCTTGGTTAAAGGATTGTATAATCTGTAAGCTTTGGACTAATCACTAACACCAAGAAAAGTATATTTTTTCTCTTTGTCATCAAGCTTACCCCTTTTTTGATCCGGCACATGTGCATATGCTATGCACCCAAAAATTCTGAAGTAATCAACAGTAGGTTTGCGTCCACTCCAAGCCCCTTCTAGTGTCACATCTGGAAGTGGAGATGTGGGACTTCTGTTCAAGATATGAACACCCCAATTAATAGCTTCTGGCCAAACTCCTTAGGCAAGCCAATCTTTGACAATAGACTTCGCATCATATTCATGATTGTGTGATTCTTCCTTTCACATACACTATTCTGCTGAGGTGTATATGCTACTATGAGTTGTCTTTTAATACCATTGGATTCACAAAAATCTATAAATTCCTTTGAGTTAAACTCACCACCACGATTTGTAAGCAAAACCTTTATAGATCTGCCAACCTCATTCTCAACCAAAACTTTGAAATTTTTAAAGGTTGCTAAGGCTTCTGACTTGGTCTACAAAAAATACACCCATGTTTTGCGACTGTAATCATCAACGAAGGTAATAAAGTATTGTTTACCTCCATTGGATGTTAGATTTATGGTTCCACATAGATCAGAATGAATTAGATCTAACACTCGCTTTGTTCTCCAAGATCTGTCTTTAGGAAAGCTGTCACAATACTGTTTATTGACCACACAAATTTCACAAACTTCTGAAGGAGAATCAAAATAAGGAAGATCATTTACCATTTTCTTTTGTTGCAAACCTTTTAGCCCACCAAAATAAAGATGTCCATATCGGTAATGCCATAACTAAGCTGTGTCCTTCAATCTAACAAATAAACATGACATATTTATAGTTTGCAAGTATAATGGAAACAACTTATTTCTTGCCATCTTGACCTTTGCCATCTTGACCTTTGCAATCAAGCCAAGCTTTGAATGAAAAACTTGGCAAACTCCATCTTTAATCAGGATTTGATACCTTTTCTCCTAAAGCTGTCCCAGACTAAGCAGATTCGACTTCAAATCTAGTACATACAAAACATTAGCAATAGTTGAATTGAATTGTCTTTGGCATGAATTGTTACCTTTCCCCTTCCCTTGACTATAAGAGTGGAATTATCACCAAATTTCACATTGTCTTGACAAGACTCGTCTAGATCTGAAAACGAAAATTTGTCTCCACACATGTGGTTGCTACAGCCAATATCTAGATACCACACATTCTTCTTGTTGACTTCTTTAGGACGACAGACCATGAATAGAGAGGCATCGTGATTCCTCTCATTGTGTTCTACAAATTTAGAACTTTCTCCTTTATTCATATTAGCATAACATTCAAAATGATAATGGCCACACTTATGACATCTGAAACATTCAACATTTGCCTTGCTTGTAGATTTGGATATGTATTTGCAACTTGATAATATTTGCTCAGCCACTTCTTCTGATTTCCAATGGTTGAATTTTCCTTCATTCTGCCAAATCTCGGTCTTCTAGATCTTAATCTGCCTTTCCAATTTTCTTTTCCTTGACCTACAACCCTTGAATTAACTATGGTTTACAAGTCTTGCGTTTACAAAATCTACACTACTTGCTTTTGCTTATCTAGGCGGTTTATCTTCCACTCAATTGAATAAACAACATAATTGAATTTTGTTGTCATGGACCGAAGAATTTTCTCAACTATGGCAACATCCTCGAGATTTTCACCATGGATCCTCATCTTGTTTGCAATTGCCATTGTCCTTGAAAAATGATCATCTACAGATTCACCAATCTACATCTGCAGACTTTCGAATTGTGCCCACAAAGCTTGGCGTTGCTGCCGCTTTGCTCTTTCATTCCCTTGGTACTTCTTCTTCATGGAATCCCAAATAGTCATGGAAGTAGACTTGTTAAGAATTGTTTCCAAGATAGCCCAATCAATGGCTTGGAACAAATAGTTCTTAGCCTTGAGATCCTTCAACTTTTCCTTCTTTATTTTTGCCCTCTATGCAACATCTACACTTGCCGCTAGTTCTGGAACACCAGATTCAACAACTGTCCAATACTCTTTGGACTAGAGAAAATTCTCCATCAACATACTCCAATGGTTGTAGTGATGACCATCAAAACAAGGGATTGAGGGCTAGACATAATTTTTGGAAGCCATGGAATCTGTCGGGAATAGGCTCTGATACCAAATGTTAAAAATCAAGAATTCCCGAGAAGAAGAAGATGGAATGAAAATCAAATCTCATTAAACTAAAAATCAACTAGCCTTTAAATAGGCTTTACAAGATAACTTTATTTAAAAAGATAACTAATCAATCTTATCTAATCTAATTTAAATTATAACAATCTAAAACAAATAAATAACTTAAACTTCCTAAATTATAGAGAGAATGACTAAATAATAAGATCTAATTTCCTACAAGAAATGGCTAGTGGATTCTTGCCAAATAAAGAAACGTGAAAGGTTTGCTAGAGACCTAAGTTATTCTCTAGCTTTATACTTTGATGCTTAACATTAGTGGAGGATCCATGAGAGGAAAATGGAGCGTGTGTATTTGTAGAAGGTGAGTAGGTGTAAATTAAATCCGTCAAAATTGGTTCCAATATGAAAATCTAACCTAACCTATTTGTTATGAATCAGGTCATGAGATCTATGACTTAATTCGAAATTCAAAATGAATCAAACTAAAATTATTCGAACTTAAATAGATTGGGTCACGGGTGGATCGGATTACTTGAAATGACCTGAATTTTTTTTATCAGATTACTTAAAAATTAATTTAAAATTTTTAATTTCCTAATCTTAAAAGTAGAAATAAATAAAATATCTAAACTTAACTTCCCATCAGTTTCACTTTCTTTTAACTTTTCCTTTTCTCCACTCTCGCTTTCCCCTTTTTCATCTCAAGCTCTCTAATCCTTTTTTTTGATGGCACTCATATAAAAAATCAAATTATGTAGCATACAGTGAATTATATCATATGGTATCATTAAAAAATCTTTTGTTGTCTTAAATAGAAAGCAAGAATGCCTATTAAAAATCAAAACCCTAATAGTTGAAGTACCCTTATCACCATTAGGAGTATAAGGACAATAACATCAATATCATTAAGATTCGCTTTTAGTTGCAAATTTGTTCTTAGTTAATAATTTATTTCTAATTAATAAAAATCAATTTCGATCTAATTTCTTCTTGTATTACTATTAAACTTTATTAAAGAAGAATAAAGAAAAACATAAAAAAATTTTAATTTTAAATTTAATTTTTTAGAAATTAGGTTTATCTAACCCAATTCAAAACTTATTTCAAAACTTATGTGAGTGGGTTATGAATCTACTTTTTTTTAACCTAACATTTAAAATGACTCAACCTAAAATACTCAACATTCAAGATAACCCAATTCAAACTTGTCCAATTCAACCAATTTTTTAGGTCTAGTGTAAATGAATGAATGAATCGGACTTTTAGACCCAATGGTTTGACCCCAAGTTTTAAGTGCTTGGGTGAGGTGATTGGAGTTTCGAGTTTTACTACTATTATGAACTCCACCAAAAGCAGCTTGATGACCGTGCGCCTTATTTGAGGGGGTGAAATGTTCACCCAGTTTAGGGATCGAATTACTAATTGCTAACAACTAATTTATACTAACAACTAATTTATACTAACTTCTTAACAATTACCTTTGTCAAAAAAAAAAAAAAAATGTAAATGAATGAAAGAGAATGAGTGGATGGGACATTTAATCACTGCCTTCATGTGGTCTCTTTAAGTCGTTTTTAGATTTTTTATTCTCTAATAAAATGTGCTATCAGTTTATTTTTAGAGTATTTCTCAAATAAAGTGGTTACTTGAAATATTTTTTAAAATTCTTAGGCCTGAGCCAGGTTCCTACGGGCTTGGCCTGTTTATCGTACCCAAGCCAGATTCTTAGTATAATACGATTGGAATTGCGATAAGCCATTGAGCCAATTAGCATATACCATGCTACAATTTGCATCCTCTATCCCAAGAAGTCCTTGATAAAATTGCACAATATTCATCCTCAATTTCTGGATCTCAGATAAGGATTGAAGGTTCTTAGAGCATGTATAATATTACTTTATAGAAATTCACATTTTTATATATAAAAATATTTATTAGTTGTACTTATAAAAAATTAAGTAAAAAAATATTTTAAAATTATATCATTTTGATAAATATTTATTAAAAAAGATTAAAATATCTTAATTTTTAAATAAGTAATAAGATTATTTTAATTTTTTGTCATAATAATTTATTAAAATGATATGATTTTAATTGTTTTTCAACCACATAATTTTACTAGTCTATCTAATGAATGCTAATAACTTTATATATTTAACCATTAAATGAAATATTTAACAATTTTCTAATACATATACTTAAATAAAGCTTTTGAAAAAATTACATTAATATTATTTTATTCATAACAAAAGAATTAACTTAAAAAATTTGAAAAAAAATAAAAATATCAGCCTCTGGATTTTAAATCCAACTGCTGAGATGGTTTGTATAGGCATTGAAAATCGATGATTGCACTGCTTGACGCCAGTATTTTTCGTCCTTGTAAGTTTGGGAAAAAAAAAAACATTAAGAGAGCCGTAGAGAGCCTTGCTCTCCTATTGAAAATGCTGCAAAGGGTAAAAATCTTTAATTTGAGCATAAAAATGAAAACCATAAACAGTCCATGCGTTGTAAATGCTATTAAAATCTGGAGCATATGACTTCTATTGTTGTATTTTTTGCTGTCTTGACTTTAACTATTTAATGGAAGTAACCAGTGTTACTTTCCTCTACTTGTATTCAATCTAAATTATTAAATAAAGCATGTCTTTAAATGTGGGAGATTGTTTTCCTTTCAAATATATGATTTTTTTTATTGGAAAAGAATTTAATTGCTTAGTAAGATAAGGTTTGAATTTTTAATTTTAATTTTAAATTAAAAATTTTAAAGTTAATAAATATTAATTTAATTAAATTCTTATTAATTCATTAAATTGTATAATTGCAAAAATGAATAACTATTTTTAAAAATAATGCAGGATTAATAAATAAATTCTTTTTCCTCTTTTCCACCAAACATCTAATATAGCTAGAATAAAATCTCTTGTTTGCATAGAAATATATTAGCACCCAAGTATTATTTTTTTGTTTGGATTTTTTAATTTATACTTTAAGGTACATGTTAAGAATTTTGAAAAAATAATATTAATTGTTTAATTAAATTTATTTATATAATATTGATATTAAAATTAATATTTATATTTACATTTTTTATATAAAATTTAGTGTAAAAAAGTTAAAAAAATCCTTTTTGAAGCACTAATACTAGATCCAAATGACGCAATATTTCAACAGGATGATTTGGTTTGGAATATGCGGTCAAGGTTTGACGAGTGTCAGTTACCCTTACCATTACGTTCTCAAATAACCCTTCCCATTCCATTACCCATTTTCAAAATAAATAACCCTTCCCAGTTCCCACTTCACTCAAAAGTAGAGCAGTCAGAGAACAAGAAATCGAGCAAAAAAACCCATGGAGGAAGAAACGGAGAACCAGTTTTCAACCCTATACGAGGCTTACAACGAACTGCACGTGTTGGCACAAGGGCTGAAGACGCCGTTCGACGCCCCGGCGGTGCTGGTGGTGGGCCATCAGACGGACGGCAAGAGCGCTCTGGTTGAGGCTCTTATGGGCTTCCAGTTCAACCACGTCGGCGGCGGCACCAAGACCAGGCGTCCCATCACCCTCCACATGTCCTACGACCCTCAATGCGAGCTCCCGTTGTGCTATCTGGTCTCTGATGACGATCCCTCTGTTGCCCCGGAGAAGTCCCTCCCTGAAATTCAGGTATTTCTTCTTTTTAACTGATTATGATTCTGAAATTTGCACTTGGAGGGAGCTCTTTCACGTTTATGTCACAATCTCATCAAAGAAAATTACACAATAAGATATAAACATGCCTGCATCCACTAGGGAAAAGAAAGAAACCAATGCACTATTAAGAGAAGACAATACTGTGCTAATTTGATAGAATTCGATCACGTATTTAGGGGAGGGTTTGCTAACAATAATTTATCTTTATGAATTATAATAGGTTTTTAGTTAGAAGTGTTACAAAGTAGACAAATCCTGCTGCCACAAAGGCAATACATTGAAATGCTACACAAAGCAATCCTGACCATTGCAAAAGGGAAATATTTCAAGTACCCAACAAACCAAGGCAACGGCTAGCTTATGCAAGGAAATGCAATTAATGGTGAGAGGCTAGCTGGTCATAGTCAATGGAATGCAACATATAGAAAACTAATGGCATGCAAATCCAAACAACGGCTATAAAATCAAATACCAGCAGCAGCTAGCATAGTTAATGGGATTGTAGATTCTTTTGTTGTATTATCTTGTATATACCTTTTTGCAATACATACCACTCCATACAGTAGATGCACACAAAGTTGTAAGAGTGAATTTTAATGCATACTTAATTCTAGGTACATTCACCTCTAATTAGACTCCCCCTTGATTTTGAAAAATCTGCTACTCCAAGCTTGTCTCAAAAAATCAGAAACTTCTGTGTAGAGATAGGTTTGGTGAAGACATCTGCAATTTGCTCCCTCATCTCGCAAAACTGAAGCGTTTTACCTTTCTCAACAAGTTCTCTAATATAGTGATGACGAACTTCTATGTGTTCCCTTTGACCATCAAACATTGGATTTTTAGTCATAGTTGTTGCTGACATAATGTTACAGCAAATTCCTTTTGGAATGTTTGCTACTGCTGCAAATCTTCCAATATTATCCTAAGCCAAACAACTTCAGTTGCTAGTTGCTGCACTTGTGGCTGAAACATACTCTGCCTCTGTTGATGATAAAGCTATGATCTGTTGCTTCTTTGACCAAGAAATGACCTTGGATCCCATGAAGAATACATAGGCTGAAGTACTCTTTCTATCATCACCACAGCCTGTATGATCATTGTTTGAATATCCAATCATCTTGTTTTCTTCTTTTGCTTGATATACAGACCTTAGCTTTTTGTTCCCTGAACTTATATGATAATTCTTTCTACCACCCCTAAATGTAGGGGTGGGCATTGGGTTCAATTTAACCCAAGCATATCTGTTAACTGAAAAATTCGCTAACATATCTTATACTGAAACCAAACTGAACTTTAATTTGGTAACTAATTTGGTCAATTTAATAATTTGGGTTACTTTGGTTATTAGCCAAGGCTTCATATAGTATGGTTGCTGTTTTTTGTTTTCAAGAGACAAACAAAATCTGCATTTGGCTGCTCTAGTAGTCATAATGCTCTCCTTGGAAAGTAGGAGCCTGACTCAGAGAGTATAGGAACACAGTGTTTATAAGTGTAGAAGACATGATCATTGTGTATCGTTTCTAAGGTTTTCTTAATTTACATTGTCTCCAGAGTCTTTTATATTTAGTAGATGCACACATAGTTCTAAGAGTGGACATTAATGCAGACTTAACTCTAGGTACTTGACTTCTAATGAGACTTTCAAACTTCTAAGACTCTAGAACATATCTAGATTTTTCTTAATTAACATCAACTTGCTGCATATTTGGATCTTTGTGGGAAATCTCGTACCTGTATTTCATTACCAGGGTGTCAGCACCCCCTTTGGGGTGAAAGCACTTTTGTGTAGTAACTTTTGGCTTCAAACTTCAACCCAATAGGATCAGCACAACACTTGCTCGATACTTCAAAAAATCATGAAATTTAACCACAAACCCTATAGTTTAAATTCTAAAAGTTGATTCTACAAATTAGATGAATCAAAAGGAATCTTATGTCTTTTTGTTTATATATTTATACATGATTCTGGGGTAATTTCTTGTTAATAGAAGGATGGGGAGACTGTACAATCGTTTTCTTTTGGATTTATAATTTATGCTATTTGAGGAACTCAATGATGATTGTTCCATGCCCTAGTAATGTTGGACAGGTTCAAAGAATCTGTCCGCAAGCTCTTGTGGTGGGTTTACGGAATGGAAAATTAGGTCTAGGTGCTTTGTTTAGGAAGAATTATGGATTAGCATGAATTTCAGGTATGATAGAAACTGGAAGCAGATTAGGTTTGTTATGAATGCAATTCAAATTATTTGTTGTAGCAAATAGAAAGTAGAAAAGAGAGAAGAATGCAAAAGATCACTAGCAAAACAGAACCAAAAGTTCTCCAAGTTCTCCATATAACTCAGTTACATAAACTCAAACCTATCGAATTGTTATGTACAAAATGATACTCATAAGCAACAATTTCTAGTCCTGATTAAATTAGGATTCTAAGGATTTGATATTAAATCTTATTTAATTAAGACTCAAAAACTCTAATAAAAGACTTACCCCTATATGGATACCAATAAAGACTAAATGTTAACAATAATAAACCAAATTTACATATTCTCTTTGAAATTGCAAACTGGTATCTAAATTTTCATCATTTCATAACATGCCTAAATTAATCTTCCATGAGTTCTTCCTTGTGTATCCTTCTCCCTGAGTTGGAGAAAACTCAACTTTGAGTTGTGAAGTGTTGAAGTGGTAGGAATCTCAAGTTTGCAAAATTTTTAGTGGCTGAAGAAGACTTGATGTGTCTTGAACTCTTCTAATCTCAGCAAGGTAGATAGTAAAGAAGGAGCTTTAGTATCAGTTGGTGCTGAAAGGATGAAGTCAACAACTTAAAGCTCCGGAACTTCCATTTCTTGAAGTTTTTGTTCAAGTGAATTGAAGGGTGCAGCTGTTGTGGTTATGGCTGAACAAGGCTAATAACTTACTGACATGAAGGATTAATTGTTGAAAAGGTTGCTGGTAATGTTTGGGTTCAATTTAGACATGAAATGAACTAGAGCTTCTGATTCCTTGATTAGCAATGTTCTCCATTGATTTCTTGCCTTGCCAATGCCAAGAATGGCTTCTGTCAGTCTCTGTATCTTCTGAGACATGGCATGCAACCTGGCTTACCCAACCTCATTTGATTCTAAGGAAGACTCAGTCTTAATTGAAATAGGAAACTAATGATAACCTAACTTGTGCATTTTCCTTGAAATTGCAAACTAATGCCTATATATTCATAATTGCATAACAATCCTAAATTAATTTTCCATGGGTTCCTCCTTGACTGCATCAATTGGACATTCCTTTAGGTATCTCTTGCAAAGAAACTCAACACATTCATTACTTTTAACTTGTTTCAAATTTTGAAGATCTGAAAGTAGATGATTCTCATACATGTCTCTAATTAGTAAATTCTGTGAATGATATCCCAAACAGCTTTTGGTGATTGCTTATTGATAATGCTATAGTGAAGTTGGGGTTCTTAAAATTGCTTGGGTTTTCAATTAACAAAATGGAATGTGCCTGTGCTTCTGTAGAGAATCGAATCTCAAGAATGAGAAGACTCAAGTAGCATATTGGAAGGTCAATAACCTTGAGTGACTTCAATTGAGATATTGTCTGTGGAATTGTCTTGGCAATGTACACTTCGACTTCATTTTATGCAACTAGATTATCTGTTCAATATTTTGAATTAGTAAGTATGATGTTCCGGAGTTTTGTAGCCAAATTATCAGTATTTGTTAATCATGCTGAGAAGCCAAAGAACCTCAAAAAAGAAAGCAAGAAAGTGGATGTGAATATGTGATACCAGGGAGAATTGTGATTGCAGAAGTCAATTTGTCTCAATTCTCACCAGTAACACCACATTATTTTTGTTTTTCATTTTTTATTTTTTGATGTTTGTAATTACTTTTTTTTTTTTCTATTCTCATTTAAAATTTAACCCAAATGATGCTGAAAATTATACATTTGTAAGAAATCTGAAGATTGATTTATCTGTTTAAATACTGATGGAAGCAATAGTTTCAATAATTCCATTCTGGAGGATAAATTTTAGGATGATTTGAGTAGTTTGTAATGCACTATTTTTTTTATCAGCTGTTAAAATGCACTATTAGCTAGTTCAAGCTTATGTTAGTACCAGTGAATGGCATTTCAATATCATGCTTAACAGTTCTGACATGTCTATTATCCTGTAGGCTTATATTGAAGCTGAAAACATGAGGTTGGAGTGTCAATCAAGTCAGTTCTCAGCTAAGGAAATCATTATTAAAGTAAAATATAAATACTGCCCAAACCTTACTATTATAGACACCCCCGGACTTATTGCTCCTGCACCAGGTCGAAAGAATCATGCATTACAGGTCTGTTGGCTAGCAAACTTTTGCCATGTTTGAGTTTCTGTAGTTTAGTGTGTTGCATTTGTTGGTTTCATATTCATGGTGGATTCATGCAGAATCAAGCTCGTGCAGTGGAGTCTCTTGTGCGAGCAAAGATGCAGCATAAGGAGTTCATTATTTTGTGTCTTGAAGACTGTAGTGACTGGAGTAATGCAACTACAAGAAGGGTGGTAATGCAAGTATGTATCTTTCTAGTTGCCTAGTGCTTAGGTTTCATTACTCTTGTAGGGAAGGAGAGATTTCTCTTACATCATGTAGTGAATTCTTTTAGGGAACATGTGGAGTATTATAACCAATATTTATTTCTGTAACTTAATGTAACCATACATGACCACTAAGTTTTCAAGTTGCATGAACTGCATATTATAGATGTCTTAAAAGATTACAGAATGCTTTTAAACCATTTTCAAGTTATGATTACGTTAAAAATGAGAAAAAAAAAGGATTATGTTCGAAAGCTTGAACTTTCATTATGGATCCAGATTGATCCTGAGTTTTCGAGGACTGTTATTGTCTCTACCAAGCTAGACACCAAAATTCCCCAGTTTGCACGCTCATCAGATGTGGAAGTCTTTCTCTCCCCTCCTAAATGTACCCTTGATGGCTTCATATTGGGTGATTCACCCTTCTTTACTTCAGTGCCTTCTGGAAGAGTTGGTTCTGGACATGATTCTCTTTACAGATCGAATGAGGAGTTTAAACAGGTTTGTTCCTGTAATCTACTTAATCTTTGACATGTTTGCTTTACTTGTTACTCTGTAATTGTTCTTGATGTTCATGGTTTTGATTGTCATGCTATGTACATCAAAAATGTATTTTACAGGTTAGACTGCACAAAAAATGTATATAATTTTATGGTATGTATATATGAGGATAGAGCATATTAATCCCAGCACCTAATTTTTTTGAAGTCCCAGATAAAATGTCACTTCCTCTGCCATTCACTTCAAAATAGGGAGTTTTATGTCAATTTACTGATAGGGGAGGTTCTGTCATCTTCACATGTGTTTCGTATTGAATGGTTGAGGCTGTGAAGTAGAAATTTACAAGCTTCCAGCCATAAAGCTAATTGGTAACATTGTTTTTCAAGCATATTTTATTCAATTTTATCTTCTCTATGGCAACTTAGTTGAATTTCTACCAAGGGAGTCTAGTCATTAGCTTGTTCTTTAGACAGAACAAACTTTTGGAAAACAGAAAATATAATAAACCAATGAAAACCTGGTATCATTGCAAATGGGAGAATTTGCAAGGTGATCTATGTTTTTGCCCATTTTGCTTTAAGATAAAGAGTGACTTAGTACTGATCTTTTCCTTCAACATTGTTGTTTATACTCCTGAATTGTGAAATGAATTGGGTTTTCACGTGAAAAGTACAATTTCATATGTAGAATGAAGACAGATCTGTTAAAATTTTCCAATGGAAAGAACACATGGCAATATCCTTTGATCTCAAGTAGATGTTCCTAACTTAAATTTTCTACTTCTCTTTGGCCCCTTCCACATTTTTCAACTTAATTTTAATTTCATTACTCATTAGCTCTATATAGATAACAAGCAACTAGTTTCTTTCTCATTAAGGTAAATCTCGTAGAGTTCTCTGCTTCAAATTACATATCTTTGAAAAACGCTTAAGAATTTCACTATTTAGTGGTTGCAGACACAACTCTCCTGTCCATTTTCCAAAACCTAATGTTACCAGTATGTTCAATTGTAGGTGCAGATCCTCCTGTATTTTCTTCATACTTATAGTTCACCATCTTTATTGTTATTATTATTATTGAAGAAGTGCATATCATATTAGACTCCTAATTTTAGGAGTTGTGTAAACCCAAGAAGATGTTTTTTGTGTGTGCATGGGTTTCTTGATGTGTGGGTTCAAAATAGTGTTGTTTTGGGTTTATAGGACACGTGAATTTTAAAATGATGTCGTTTTGGATTGAGCTTCTTGATTTGTGGGTTTAGAAAATGGGGTGTTTTGGGATTGTAGGACTTGTGGGTTTTAAAATGACATTGTTTTGGGTTTATAGTTCGGAGTACCAACTCATATGCACTATACTTGTCATCATCATGTTTTCCTCTCCCATTAAATGTCTCTGGAGAGTATAGTCACTTCTAATCTTGTCACACCTTTCCCTTGGTAGTTCAATGCAAGGGCTTACTAAGTTATTATTAAACTCAACCTTCGTTCCTGTCTATGGAAAGTTAATTGCTGCATCCCTTCAGCAGCAGAGGTAAATGTGTGAATAATTGTAAATACTTGAAGTAATACTCTTTCTTCAATTTGATTCTGCAAGAAAGTTGGAATTAACTTTGGTTAACTTCTTAAAACATATCATACTGGCCATATGAATGACCATAAAAAAATAAGGTTGACCCACTTGAATAGCCAATAAACATCATATGACCCTGATGAAGCTCCAAAGATGTCAAATCATAAAACACTAAATCAAGTTTAAGATCATAACTGTCCCTTAAGTCTTATTTTGAATTTTTTTCTTGGCCTTTTCAAATCAAGAATTGTATGTATTCATCTCAATATCTGTAGCTGGCAGGCTATTGTAATGTTAAACCCTGTTGAGACATTGTGCTTTCATGCTTTATTTTAGGGTTATTAATCTACAACCTATAGAAGTTCATTATTCTTACTGCAGGCAATAACCTCCAGGGAGATGGAAGATGTTGCATCTTTGGAGGAGAAGTTAGGCCGGAAATTGTCAAATCAAGAAAGGAATAGAATAGGAGTAAGCAAACTTAGATTGTTTCTGGAAGAACTTTTGCAGAAACGGTATGTTTTTTCTTCTTGTTTCGGTTTTGATCATTATCTCATGTTTGTTTTCACCTATGTTGTATCACTAGAGTTTTACGAACATATGTTTGTAAGGTATATGGATAGCGTTCCTTTGATCATTCCACTTCTTGAAAAGGAGTTTTGCAGCACAACAAGGAAGTTAGATGAAATAAATAAGGATCTCAGGTCTGTAGTTGAACTCACAAACAATATTTACTTTGTCAGGCAACTTTAGATTAATTTGAATTAAAACCTAAACTCTGGCAATGCTGACTGGAGGATGGAATCAAAATTTCACATTTTGTATATTTTGACAATCTTGTTTCAGCTGGTATATCTTATTCAATTGTATATAATATCTTCTTCTTTTATCATAATCAATTTCTTTCATTCTTTTCTTTATGTGCAGCACTTTGGATGAAGTAAAATTGAAGGAGAAAGGAAGAGCATTTCATGACTTATTTCTAACCAAGGTTACTATTAGTCTTAACATATTTCCTAGTGTTGCATCCATAAACATTTTCTCTTGACAACAGTGGCAAAACCAGAATCAGAATGGAGTCTAGGGTAGGGCCTGATAGCGAAAACTTATATAACACCAATAGAGAGAACACAATCAGATAGCATATTATCTATTCAGTTTGTTAACAAAACCAAAAGAGGAAAAAAAGAAAAAAGGACAAAATAAACTAAAGAATTCTATGGGAACATATTTGCAATCTGTTTCATAATTGTCTTGTGTCATTGGTAGCTAGGACATCTCATTCATACATTCATCACCATTCTATTGCACAACTGGTTTCTTATAATCTTCATTGTTGAAAACACTCTCCACATTGGCCATTGCAATTGGGTAAAAAGCATAGTAAACTTCAAAAGCAAGAAGACTAAAGACACCATTCCTTCTAAACTACGCAAACTTTGCAAGTCTAGCAGTTTTGTTCTTATGAGAGAATTAAATTTAAATTGATCAAAACAAATTTCTCACCAACAACTCTGCTACTCAAATTTCCCCTCATGAAAGACAAAAATTTCTAGAACTAAGAACACTTGTAAATAAACCCTGTACTGCTCAAATGAACTCAGGAAAAAAAAAAAAACCCTAAATCCAATTTCATTATCAGTTTTCTATCTTTACTAAAATCTATGACATTTACAGTTCCACCAAGAACAACACCAGAAAAGTCAATTCACAAGGACACCAATCTAAACATCTTAGGAAACCAGGCTGGCCATAAATATACAAGTAAGCTGGATTTTACAAAAATATCATATTCAATTTCACTAAAAACAGGTTTACCAAGTTCAACAATAGACACAAACTTGAATGGAACACTCAATAAAATTGATTCCCATTTAAGAAAACCTAGCATATATAATACCAGATTCAAAAAGGAAACCAAAGGGAGAACACTGCACATTCATCAACAGTAAAAAAGGAAGACAAAATAAGCAGATTTGATAACAGTAGAACATATTCAAAACGAAAGGAAAAGAAGACGTATGTCATCATAGCACATAGTTATGCATAATCACAGTTCAAAGAAAAATGGACCTATTAACAAACCGTTCATCATCGAGACTAACAAGCAGGTCTGGATGTGGTTTCTTGGAAAATCCAAATTCCAAACCTATTTCTCACACCTCAAACAAATTGAAATTTTAAGGAAAATACCCAGAAATCAAAGAAATTTTGCTTTCATCTAAACTACAAATAGGTACAAAGAGCTTCAATTCTCCTCCTGGAATAAATCTTCTCTCTTCAGACTCCAAAACTTTCTACCTGTAGACAGCTACAGAACCCTTTCGCCACTTGAATTCAGTTATGGAAAATTTTGGGCCAAGAGAAAGAAAACCCAGCCCCTGTGATTGTGGTTTTCTTTGTGATTTTGGGCTGGCAAATAATTGTTGATAATAACTGAATTTAGATTTTAGATTTATCTTTATTTATTCATTTATCTCCATTGGTAATTGTTAGCTAGATTTGATTCCAACCTTGGGCCAACATGACTTCACCCCTGCTAAACAGATTTGCAAATAACAGAGCACTTGGGTGCCATCATTGAGTCATATGAGCTAGCCAGGATACTTAGTCTTATTACATGTGCTCGGGATACTAGCTCTTGGAAACTTTGCTAACTTTCTTTTTAAATGCTACATGCACTGACTTATCATTACAACTCACAACAAATTTCCACTGATTGAGATAGCAGTATTTTTGGTGTTCAAGACTGTCCTTTCTGTTCATATTATGTAGTACTGACAATATGTGCTTTCATTTCTCAGTTATCACTGCTTCTGAAAGGGTCAGTTGTTGCACCTCCTGATAAATTTGGTAAATCCCCTTGATGTTGCTATCTTTCTATGGAATTGTATATTATATTAGTTGGCGGTATTGATAATATATTTTCCAATTATCTTCATATTTTCTTCAAATAATTGTGTCTGGAGGTTGTGAAGAAAGATGAGAAAGAAGAATATATGGAAAGACATGGATATAGGGATTGAAACAGATAGAGAGGAAACTTAGAAGTAAAGGGATAACAAACTAGAAGAAGTAGAGACTAGAAAACCACAGAAAATATTGAGGATCAGTTACTTCATAATTTCAAATCATATTATAATAATACATAAACCTAATGCATGGTAGCCTCTATTTAGAATTAAATCCCTAATAGGATTAAACAAAATAATAGATACACAACTAATTTGAATAAGAAAGTGAAACTAAAGGCAAATATTTCATTACTCAATATTCCCATTTCCTAGAATTACCATGAAAAACCTTAAATAATCAAAATATATAATAAGAAAAAAATAATATAAGTACTCCTTCCAAAGTTTCTTCTTTGACTGCATCAAGTTTTCACTTTTTATCTTATATATATAATTATTTGGGGTTTCAAGTAGAATCATAAACAGGAGTTTGTGTTCCTTTATAGGTGAAACACTGCTGGATGAGAGAATCAGTGGTGGGGCATTTGTTGGTATTGATGGCCTTCAGCTTCCACACAAGCTAATACCTGTAAGCCAGCATTCTTTACACCCTAGTTTTCTTTGATGCGTCTTTGTAACATCAAGAACATGCAAATATTTCTTAAGTTGCTTTGCTTCAGGATTTCTTTCTTTCGATGATGATAATCTGCTTGAGGTATTGTCCATTCAAGTTTTAATTCTTTGTAATTTGCCAATTGATACATTGAAAGGCCACCCCATTAAACATTGTCTTTTTCCTGTTTTGTTGACTTTTTTTGTTTAAAGCTCAGCAAATGAAGGCAATTACTGAACGGTGTCTTTCTGGACAAATATGTACCTCTAGAGTTTCACTGATGACGGATATTAAACTATGAACACTGAAAATGGATTTTCCTTTGTTTCAGAATTCTGGAATGCGTCTTTATGGAGGTGCACAATATCATCGTGCCATGGCTGAATTTCGTTTTGTTGTTGGAGGAATCAAATGCCCTCCAATTACAAGGGAAGAAATAGTTAATGCTTGTGGAGTTGAAGATATCCATGATGGAGCAAACTACTCCAGGTATCAGTATTCTAATTTCTAAGGATGAATCATATTTTTGCTGCTAATTATACGTTGTAAATTTGGCAAAAGAAAAAAAAAGAAGTCCTAAACTGTTATATTTTTCTTTTGTTCATCTTATTTTGAAATTCAGGACTGCTTGTGTTATAGCTGTTGCAAAGGCTCGTGATACATTTGAACCATTCCTTTATCAGGTGACGAGTAATTGGAGTTGTCCATATCTTCCTTTCCTTTCTTTCATGCATCTCTCTGCCTTCTGTTTTCTTGTGTTTGGATTGACTTGATTTATGTTACAGTAAACATTGAAAACCAAAATTTCACTTCATAAACAATTTATGATCTGAAATCAGTAGGATCCCATATCCAATAATCCTAGCACAAAATCACAAGTTTCACCTGTTTGGAATGCTTGGCTTGCAGTCTTTGGTAAAAAAATTAGGGGGAAGTTGTTGTGGTACCATTGTTCTTACCATGATGTCTAGGGTTCCTTGTTTTCTAGGCCATGCATGTGAGAGGATGTACCACATCCTAAAGGGGTGTGGCATTACATTGCTCAAGTACCTCGTACAACTATAATTCTTCACTTTTCAATGTTTGCTCCAAAATATGCTAGTGTACCCTGTGAACCAAGAAGAAACTGTTTAATGGCAGAATGCATTTATTATCCATGAAGTTAATATTTAAACTCATGTAATAACCTACCTAGACAAGCCAATATGATGGCTAAAATAGTGAAGTTAAACAGTCTAACATTCTTGTTAAGTGGGAAAATCCCACATTAGTGAATCAAACAAGAACTCATGGATTTAACAAAATGTGAATTACTACACCTATTGCTGGTTAGTTTTAGTTTAGATGTTTACATGGTATGAGAGCCTAGAACAGAGTTGTGTGTGCAAACTGAAGGGTGTTGCTGCAAGCTTGGCTAGTGTGTGATCAGCTTGTGTGCACAACCCAAGAAAGTTTTTGCAAGCTTATGACCTAGGAGAGGTCATTGGAAGCCCTGGTGTGTAACCAAAGATGAGGTTGGCAGTGGCTGGGTGGGCTATGGCCATGAGTCCTTGTGACAGTGATTCCAAGTAACAGACTTGTGGACTTGAATACAATGTGGACTATTCCACCTAATTCTGATTGGTTTTAGGCTATTGGTATACCGTAACCGTATAGCCAACTAAAAGCCTTTAGTACCTAGTAACCAGCATTTCTCTTGATGGTAATAAGTATGAGATTCCTATAACCCTGTATTTCTTTACGGCTTGGCTTGTTGATGTTTGCTACTTATGCTCTAATTAAGATTTATCGTTTTCTTGTAATAGTTGGGATGCAGGCTGTTGCACATTCTGAAGAGATTACTTCCCATCTCTGTCCATCTTCTCCAGGTCTGGGCTCATTTTGGACTCTGGTTGTCATGCTTATAGAACCTTTCAAGCTTCAATGCTATATACTTTACATATTTCCTATTATATTTTAACAGTTCTACTTTATTCTGGTTTTTAATAGAAAGAGGGTGAATATCTAAGTGGTCATGAGGTGTTTCTTAGGCGTGTTGTTTCTGCTTTCAACAATTTCATTGAATCTACTGAAAAAGCAAGCCGGGAAAAGTAAGGTGCTTTTCCCTTTTGTAAACCAATTTTTTTCTTATTAAGTTCAGTATTCTGCAAATTACTTGGTTCAAAGTTTAGTTTAGTTGGTGCAACATTCTATTAATTGTTAACCCATTCGGGTTGGTTCAAGTGGTAAGGATGGATGAGAACTATGCCTGAGAATCCCATTCAAGTCCTTCTATTGCCATTAGGGTGCAAACAATTCCAATGGGTCATGCCTGCCACCCTCGAAGGTGGAGCTTTGCCCTATACCTGTGGATGAGGTGGTTTGCAGTTACCTGTGGGATTAGTTAGCTTGAAGGTCTGGACCTGTGATATATATATATATATATATATAGAGTAGGGATCTACTTACATACAAGTCTTACATGTCACATTTACACAAAATTTCAACCATTCAGCTCTCCACCTTCAATGGTTAAGATTTATTCACATTTATTAAAGATATTTATTTTTTTCATTTAAAAAGTCATGATAAATTTCAACCATTAAAAGTGGAGAAATGAATGGTTAAGATTTTGTGTAAATGTGATGTGTAAAACTTGTGTGTAAATGTGATGTGTAAAACTTGTGTGTAAGTGGATCCTTCCTTATATATATATATAAAACTTTCTATTAATTGTTAGATAATAATCATATCTAAACACAAAGGGCATAATTATGCTTGATGAAATTTATTTGTGAAATTAGGAGTAGAATCTTTTGAATCATTAAAGTAATAATTACAGTTTAGAAAGAAATAACATCGTAGTGCTGACAGACAACAACAATGCATTTCGCTAATCTGGGACAAATAAATGATATGTGGCAAGGACCTGATGCATTTTTTATCTTTTGGTTTATAATGTAAGACTGAACTTGTATATATATATATTCTATGAAGTTATGTAAAATTTGCAAAACTATGTTCAAATTACTAGCATTCCAGGGAAATTCCTAAAATTTTGTTAATCAGAAGATTTTCACTATGAGGTATAATACATAATGGAATCAAGATACCTTTCTTTCCAAATTTTAAAAATTTAAAAAATTTCTTGCATTATGGAACAAAGAATGCAGGGGAGGGGTGTTGTCATTTCTATTGTGCGTCCATATCCAAGTCTCTTATATTCTCAGTTTTTAATGTGTATGTAAAGCAAGTGCCAAATTGATTCCTTTTCTGTGAATTAAAGTCCTTTGTGAATTTTGACATGTTTAGGAGAGACTGTTTCTTGCTTTTGTCTACCTGATATTTTCTGTTGCTTTGTTATTGGGACTAATACCACTACTACCTACACTTTCAATCAATATTGCTGCAGATGTATGGAGGATTTGGTGAGCACCACTCGTTATGTAACATGGTCCCTCCACAACAAGGTAAATTGATTAAGGAGGCACTTAGGGTTCTGCAAGGGGGAAATTGTTAACATTAGCCTTATATTTATATTCAAAATTTCAAACAGGTCTAATAGTAGGCCCCTTGGTCTCATGAATCATATGCACTCAAGTTTAATATTTCTCCTAGTATTAGTGTGGATCTAGAAGCAATTTCTTGCAGTTCCTTCCCAATGCAGTTGGTAGTTATATTGAATTGGTACTTGACCTATTGTCACCCTTTGAAGCTAGCAATGGTAACATTCTATTTGGTTCTGTTGCTGATCTGCCAACCTGTTGTTCTCTTTTTGAATTTACAGAATCGGGCTGGGCTACGTCAATTTTTAGACTCATTTTCTGGCACGGAGCAGTCTGCTACGGTGGTAAATTCTATAGCTCCTAATACTTCCCATGAGTCATCACCAGGGTCAGTTGCCACTGAGAAGCCTGACAATAAACCAAGAACAGATGTAAAGCTCAGTCATCTGTCCTCTGGTGTGGATTCCAGCTCTTCTGTTCCAACAGCAGAAACGAGGCTTGCTGACCTACTGGATAGCACTCTTTGGAACCGTAGACTTGGTCCTTCATCAGAAAGGATAGTTTATGCATTGGTACAACAGATATTCCTTGGCATAAGAGAATACTTCTTGGCCTCAACTGAATTAAAGGTGTGCGTTGCTTTCTTCTTTACCTTTTTGCTTATGGTTTTATTTCAATTGCCATACAAAACTAAGTTGCAACTCAGCTATATGTTATTCTAAATGCAGCTGGATATCATTTGCTGACTTCTTTTTCATGCCTGGCTTATCATTCTAGTTCTTTCTTAACCATTATCTCATTTGTTTTTCCAGTTCAACTGCTTTCTTCTAATGCCAATTGTGGACAAGTTACCTTCACTTCTACGGGAGGATCTAGAATCTGCATTTACTGATGACTTGGATAATGTATTTGACGTCTCCAACATAAGACATTCGTTGGGCCAACAGAAACAAGATACAGAAATCGAGCTCAAAAGGGTGGGTATTCCATTCTGTTCATTTTCTTTCTGTGAAGTACTTTTAATCTTAGCATGGTCTTTGTCATTTTGATTGCTGTGCGAACTAATGATTATGCAGATTAAGAGGCTCAATGAGAAATTCAAGCTAATACATGAGCAACTAAGTTCACATCAAATAATATCAAGTATGTTGCCTGCTTTATCTGTCTGAAATGTGCACCAATTTGATAGAATAAATGAGGAATTATATGTGTAATGATAAAATTTTTACTTATTGATTATGATTCGCTTTTATGAAATATTTTATCATATTATCATTTATCATATAATATGGGATTATATGTGTTTTAAATATGAGTAGTGATCTATTTATACATAAGTTTTACAAACCACACTTACACAAAATCTCAATCATTTATCTATCAACTTTTAATAGTTGAGATTTATTCATATTTATTAAAAATAATTATCTTTTTTTATGTAAAATCTCGTCATAAATTTTAATCTTTAAAAGTGGATATACAAATGGTCAAGATTTTGTAGTGTAATATGTAAGTCTTGTGTGTAAGTAGATTTCTATTCTTTAAATATTTATTTTAACATTTTGTCAAATGAAAAAAAGAAGAAGAGAAAATGATTTCATTGTCTTAAATTAATTCTTATATTGAAAATAATATGGTTATAATAGAACATGGCTTTGTAAGCTTACTTATAATCATAACATGTTATTATATTGATTGACTCTTTCATGTAAGGGCTTACTTGTGATATTCATATGTAATGTATTCACTCATTTAATGATATATCATGATTGTAAGTTTATGATTTTATGTAATATTGTGATTATTTATCATTGGGAATCCTCATACCCTACCATAAGTGGTAACTGGTCAAAGCGACTGGCCTATTAACCCAATTTTGATTCGAAGCTTGGTTGAAACAGGCTAGCCAGTCCCAGCTGAGACTAGAGGGCTTGAGATAGGACCGACTCGCCAGTTTAATATTTGTTTTATTTGTTTAAATTCTAAAGCAATAAATGACTGGAGAGCCTACAATGTATTTGGGACTACAGTCAATGGCAATTATTTCCCTAGGGCAATTTAACATAAGTGAATTGTCCTTCTACACTACTTTGTCTTAATCTTTTGGGGATGATAGTCCGTGTCGTTTGTTAACTGTTCTTCGTTTTTGGATGTAGGACTAGGATGGTGGGTTTAGTCTATAATCATTTTACTATAGCTGATGCAATCGCTAGTCAGTAGTTGTGAAATTTGTTTTTTCAGAAAAAAGAATGGTAAATTTCAATTAACTAATTATGAAAGGATGAATACCTAACTTCAGTTAGGTAGTTTAAAGGTTTATTAGTTTGATGGCTTGGTAGAGGGAAAATGAAAAGCTCGAGGCCTAAAAAGAAGGATTTTCCTATAAATAACTAAGGATTAAGGATAAAGATGTTTGGATTTTATCCCTTTTCACTCCTCTGGGGGTTTATTTGGCTGCATAGCTATCCATCTCTTCCTGGTTCTAAACGTGAGGGTTGCTTCGGGTTTTCTTCTTCCTTCTTCCCTGGTTTGCTTGTGGAGGGTGGAGGCTGAGAAGTTTTTGGATAGCAGGGCAGGCGAGGGAAGGTAGGCAAGGTCGATTCTCTTGTTGGTTTCTGATTGCGACCTTCTCTGGGGTCCCTTAATCGGAGGAGGGGCAAGTGTTGTCTCATAAGTGGTGGTGTTAGGATGCGAGCGAGGTTCTGGTGTGGTGGTTTGGGTGAGACTATCATGGCCTAGGAGATTGCCGAGTTGTGGGTTAAGTTCACGTTGACAGAGAAGGGGATTATTAAGGTGCCAAGCTTGGCGGAAAAGGGGACAGGATTGGTGGGTGTCACTGCCAGGTGGGGAAGGTGCTTTCTTGTTGGGTTGGGTCGGGTTGCAGGTTCGTCCTTTTGGAGATAATACTTTGTGTTCATGGATGGAAGTGAGATTCGGTTCTGGTGGAAGCGCCATGGGCATTCAATAATAAGAGTCTAATTGTCTTGGTTGAATGTAACGGAAAAATCGCTGTTAGTGAATTGGATTTCTTAAGACGTCGTTTTTGAATTCAATTCCTGGGTTTAAGGATGGGGCTTATGACTGAAACTATGGGCAGATTGTGGGGGAAGCTATAGGTCTAGTTCTTGATGTTAATATCCCTAAAGATAGCATGATCAAAGGCCCTGCTTTAAGGGTTAGAGCCATGGTGGATGTTCGACCTCCGTAATGAAGGGTGGCGGTGCAATTGGTATTAGGAGAGACTATTCAATGATATTTAACGACATTTTTTTTTGAAACAAAGAGAGCAATTTGTCAAGAATAATATATAACTACTGTTTCCTCAAAAATCATTTTTAAGGTGTAAACAACTACATTCAAGGATAAAACTTGTTTCAATTAGACGGCCAAACAACGAACAAAAATATTACAGTCATGGCATAGGGACAAATGAGAAAAGGAGCCACCTCATCGTGACAAGACGACTTTTAATCATAAGAAGATAAAACTAAGGTATAATGTTTATAGAAGTATAGTAATTTAGAGACGAGTTGGGGAAGTTTTATATGTTTAAAGAACCATCAATATGCAAGGTAATTAGAGCATTTTGCCACATCCACAAGCAAATAAAAGTTGTTTTCATCCCTTTCCACACCCACTCCCTTTTTTGTTGATGTTAGAAGTGTTGAGGAGTTTCCTGATATAAATATTCCTAGATTGTTAGGATTAGGTTGTTAGATTTGTACATGCTATTAGGTTGTTAAACTTGTCATGATCATTTGATAAGATTAGATTAGGTTGTTATTATTTCTATTTGTTAGGATTCATGGTTAAGTTTATTTAGATTTAGTTGTTGTACAAGCCTATTTAAAGGCTACAGTTACTTCGATTAATTGAACTTGTCATTCTATTTATTTTCCTCTCTTGAATTCGTTGTTTCTTAACATTAGACTAGGTTGCTTTTTATGTTTATTCAGCTCCCAAATAGGTGAATATGTACTTATCCAGGACACCAAAAAGGAGATGGATTAGCTCTGATTTCCTAAAGCTGGATCAGGACAACATGGTGTCAAATGTATATCCACTACGCCACCTTGAGGTAAATTTGTTTGTAGGTAAAGAGGTTCAAGTAGTGGGGAGAGTGGGGGAGATAGATAAGCTCGACTCATTTCCAGTCAAAGGGTAAGTGGGATTTTAACACTCTCCACAACCTACACGCACACTTTTCAATTGTGAAGGGAGCAAGGTATGACATGACTCTCTTGTCATCATCTTTTCACTCTAAAAATCTTAAACCCTAAAAAGCACTTTTCAAAGTTCTTTCCGGGTCTAATACGGCTCTTAAACACCTTAGGACAAGGCTTAAACCATTTATAATCATTGCTCTTTTATATTACTTTGGTGCTTTAAACAGCCATATTCATGTTTCTTAGACCCATAGCTTGCTACAATTATTGCGCCCCCTCTAAGTTAATCACTTTTAGAGAGAAAGGTTACCTTCTTGTGCTTTTAACTTACCATATATATATATATATTAATCATACCTAATCAATCGTCAAGTATATGTTCACACGGTCAAAGTATGCTAAGAATGAAGAATTTGCCTAATAACTAAGTTAAAAGTAAGTTAAAAGTACAGTTTAGCACTAGGTGGCTTAGTAGTTACTTCCTTGATGGAAAGTGCTACAACATGAAGTCTTAAATTCAATAC